CAGGTGTTGGTGCTCGCCACCGGCGATCGCCCCAAAACAAACCATTTTCTGGTACTAGTAGCTTCTTGCTCCTACTAGCGATGCCAGGAGCCCCTAGTAGCTTCTTGCTCCTAGTAGGTACTATGGGTGCAGCCCAGTCCCGCGGACAAGGAACGTCACAAGGTTCGCTACGAGTTCGGGGCAGCATCGAAACCGAACGGAGACCAGGTTCGCTACGAGTTCGGGGCTCCTGTTGCTTCCAGTGTAATGGTGCAACAACGACAATTGCCAAGGAAACCGGCTGGCATCCTCCATAAACAAACACTGCTCAGTTTCAAGCCATGATTCACGATGATTAGGACCCCTCCTGTTAGTTTGGCCCGGCTTGTTCCTAAAAAAGACTCACCTCCTGTGTGGTAGAACCTTCTGGCCCATTTTCCTGCCCAAAATCCCAGTCAGTTTGGTCAACCTTTCTTGGGCCAAATTTCTAGCAAATTAGGAACAAACCTTTCCCTTTCAACCCCTGTAGTTCGACCCATCCCTCATCCTGTGGTCCGGACTTGCCAATTATAGAACATTCCTTCCGCAATGAATGTTCACAACACCCCAGTGCTCTTGCTGGCTCATGCCTGTTGCAGTTTTTGGCATTCAGTGAGACTCATTGGATGGGACATTGTGCAGCAAATGCAGTGAATCTGAACTCCTCAGTGGCCGTGCCTGGTTCGCCTGCTCCTCAAGCAATGCATATTCCTCCATATCTTCACCCTCCTCCTCACCCAAGTCTCCTTCTCCACTACCTGTAATGCATCTTACATCATCTTACCTTACTGCTCTGTGGACTCATCTCAGTCTCATCGCTCTTCATCTGCCAAAGCCAACATCACACCCAGAACCGCAAATATTGATACAACCCTACCAAACAAATTACTAATTAATGTGCACACAGGATTAAGCAACCCCCCCTTATTAATCAAACCCAGCTGGAGCCTCCAATACTAAACTAACAGTAACCGGGTTAGGTTGATTAATCCGGTGTTGGCCTTATAATAAACGATGGGCCTTTCCCACTACCAAGGATCTTGAAGAATATTCCTAGCAGTTCGCCTGGTTCGCCAAGGTTGCAGCTAGTAGCTACTTCCCGCCTCTTGAAATATCTGATTGGCGGGGTCCATGCTCCGCTCTTCGCCTGTCGCCTCGGGGTCCCCGACCGGATCCACCTCTCGCTTCCCTGTACCGCACAGGTCCTGGACGCCGTCGACCGTTCCGTGGGCGAAAGCAGCCAGGTGACCGCTGGTATATGGCATCTCAGTTGAATGGATGTTCTTGAAGGACCATGTATATAATAGAAACTGCGAGAGAGACAATTGAAAAAAACAAACTGCTGAGAATACATCAACATACACATTCCAAACAAAACTGACATCAAAGCAAGCAAACCCCGGACCTAGAGTTCCCTTCATGTATCGATTCCTACCCTCCCCAGCATCCACAGCATCCACCATCAACCGCCAGAAAATGCAAGAAGCCCATCTGCCCGGCATCTGCAAAGCCGAGCAATAGACTCTGCTCCAACCTTCAAACTGTGGAACATGATGCTTCAAGGGCGGCCTGGATTAAATCATTCCCCAACCTCTAGAAACCAGAAAGAGGTCTTCATGAAGGTGGGGAAAAAATATGGCTCCGGCCAGCGGGTCTGCAAACGTCTGCTGCGGGTCTGCCTCGATGCCCTCGACCGACACAGCTCAGCGGGCGGCGGTTTTTTTGGGTCTTCGCCGGTCTTCGCTGTTTCTCCGCCGCTGGCGAGGAGGGAATCTGCAGTGAGGCATTGAAGCAAAGGCGGAAGGGAAGCTTTGAGGCGCAAAAGCTTTTTCAGAGAAATCATGGAGAAATCCCACATCAAGCCATGGCACTCGTCTTGCTCCGAAAGCCCAACCAAAACAATGAAGTAGAATAATAGTAAATATCTAAGACTATCTCCGTCGATTCGTCGACTCCGAAGCGCGACGGAGTCGCTCCGATCGACCGCACCGATCGACTTGATTGCAAGCATTGGCGGGACTGGAGGGACATGCCGTGCTCGTGTTTAGTGTTGACGTTTGTTATCTCTTATTTTGTTTGTCACTGGGCGGTCCACTTTTCTTGGGCTGACTATCTCAAAGCTGCAGCTAACCTAGTCCTGTCGGGGAGGGGAAAGAAGGGCATAGGGTCCCTGGAATATGGCTTTCAACACCTTCTTGAACAAAAAGAACACCATTTGCTCTTCTTCTCTTCTCGTGAAAATAACACACAAAACTATCACAAAACACATCCAAACACTCGTTTTGGGTGACTCACCAAACATGCGGCCTCAAACCTCAAACCGGTCTTTCTGCGGCGAGGCGGACCGAACGAGGGTTCCAAACCGGTTCCGGACGACGGTGTCCTTGGTACGTTCGGTGTCGAAGGTCCAAGACCCGTCCGACAGTTCGGTCGGCACATGGCACATGCAAGTCCGTTATCACAGATCTCAAGAAGCCAGCATCCAGCGTGCAGAAGGTTCTCGTTTTGTAGATTTCTGCTCCTGTGACCCGTTTTGTAGAGTTCTGCACTGTCTTTCGCAAAGATTCATGGGTCTGCGGCTGATTTTCAGTGATTTCAACAAACATTCTTCCCACGAATTTGTAGAACAACTTGAAGAACCCTCGCATTTCTTTCACATCCTTGTAGTCCAATCGATTGAACACACAGAAGCCATTTCTCCCAAGAGGGTGAGGGCTGCGCGCCCTGTTAAGGAGGCCCACGAACCTGAACCGGATGGCCCGCCCCCGAGCCCGCCGTGCCTTCGATGAAGCGACGGCTGGGTGGGAGCGATGCGAGGCGTTTCACGGCGGCTCGGCAGCGCCATGTCTGTCCTGGAAGTCCAAGCTCGAGCGACTCGAGCTGTCTTTTTTTGTGCTGCACATGTGTTGTACATGCTGGTCAGGGTTTTTTCTTAAAGAACTTAACTTATACTTGTTTCGGAAACGAGTGTCTTCAAGTTTAAACTCTTGTTGCCTGTTGCCAGGCGATTCTGTGGAATCATTGTGGATGATTGATGGTGCGTGATGGTCTGTGGCTACCTTTCTGCAATGTATGCCTTTTTCAGTCCAGGTCCAGGTGGAGCTGATCAGTCCAGCCATTCTTCCGTTCCAAAAAAGAACACGCTGCGGCTCGGCCACAGCTCCATGACTGTGGGGGGGCACCACAGTCCTTGATTATATACCCTAGGGCACCTGGACCCGACAATGGCACCCCTTCTAAGAAGGCAATGATAATTAATGATATATCCTTTCAGTCAACCCAACTCTCCGAAAAAACATCTCGGCATCTCCATGTCCTCCATATCCGAGCTACGCAACACCTGTCAACAGCTCCAGGGGTGCGAAGATGAGGCGATCCGACACCTCAAGGCGAAAGGCATGGTGCTTGGCTCCATGCAAAATCCTTAGGACAAACCATCAAGAAGCAACAAACAGGCACTGGCACCTAAATCTGGTCTGGTCATTGCAGGTTCCCAAAACCATTCGATTTCCTCTAAATCTCGAAGCCAGGATGTGTAATTCATAATGTGTTAGTCATCTATATGTGACTTTCAACGGAAGGCAACTTTTGGTCTGAGTCTAGATTTTTGGCGCGATCTTCGATTTGTTATGCCAGTGTTCGGAGAGTGTGTGAAGGTTGCACTGAGGCTGTCACCACCTTCGGAGATGTGTTCCAAACCTCCAAGCGTGCTGCAATATGCTGCATGAGGACTGAAACAAAACAACAAACCCAACTTCACAGAACCTGTGGTGCTCCCACTTATTTCTACATATTTATATGGAGTGTTAGTGGATGTTAGTGGTATCATGTGGTTTCAATCTGGACTAATTTGGAAATCAATGGCCATCTTGCAGTACACAAGCCGCAGCTGAAGCAGAACTCTCTGATCATTTTTCTGAAAGGGCACCTTTTTGGCGTGTATCCAGTCTCAACAAATCAATCTTGCAAAGCTGACGCGTGCAACTTGGCCGTCTTGGCCGAGCCCTCCACCTCCACCAAACTCCCGATCCTTAAATCAACCAGCTTGCCTGCGGTCTCTGCCATCTGTCTGGCCTTGTCTTCAGGGGATCTCCCCGCATAGTGGACAATGGAAAGCCCTGCGGGTTCACACAGCACGGGAACCACTTCACCAACACAAACACCAGAATTATCCCAAAACCCAAAAGCCCTCGTGCCCTATCAACACCGTGCACTCTCTGCTTTAAAGACATGTTGCTCGAACCTTGGGCTGTGGGTCAAAAAGCTGCGTCTGGAATGCTGGTGTCTTCCCACCGCACATGAACAGAATAAAGTCGCGGAGAGGTCCACCTTCCACCTACCATGGTGGCGTCACGAAGCAATCGTCGTCCGTCCGTTGTTCCCACGCCTTCTCTGTCAAAGTTCAGGGCATTCAGCTCCGTGTGCGGGCGAATGTCCACTCCAGTCACTAGCTTCGAATTGCAGCAGCCCTCTGGATCCTCATTATTCATGGCCATGTAGTCACCTGAAGGTAGTCACAGGTGACAGGCCATGTTTCGATAGAGCTAGTGCGCCATGTTCATGGGAATGGAATCCGATGCCTACATTGAATCCCCCAAACCATCGCAATGTAGGCAAATATACCGATGAAATGGTCCTGCTATACACCAACACCACCGACCAGAAAAAAACGCGATTACTATGAGATGAGCCAAGACACAGACACGCCGTCCGTCAGACCGGTAAAAAAAAAAGGATGCACCGAATGGGAATCCGACGCTCTGGACCCCCCCATTCCACAGGCCGACTCGAGGAGTCACATGTAGGTTAGGTGCCGGTGCACTCACTTGGAGGAAGTCGTTGGTTACCGAAAAAAAAGGCATCCACGGCCGGAGGAAGGGACGAACCAAACCACTCCGACGACTCCGCCCAAACCAGACTCTGCTCAGACGGAGTGTCGGCATTTTGTGGCCTTCTCCTTTGCCTCTGGGCTGGCAGAAAACTTATGCATGACGTAGATCATGGCCGATTGATCTTGCCACGGTTCTGGAGAAGGATACGTCTTCCAAACTTCCTTCAAAAAAGTCCAGCGTCCACTTGTCATTCTTGAACCTTGGATTTCCGCGGGGGTGAACTAACTTACAAAAAACAACAGTAACAGGGGAAAGGACAACAATGACAACAATGAACTAATGAGTGAATCCAGGGAACATGATGTGTCCGGAATTAAGGAAGCAAAGGTCGCCTCCACTAAAGGTCATGTAGCTGTTTCCTCGGGGCAAGTAGTGTTTCAAGCTGGTGCTGTAGTTCACGAAGAGCGAATCGCTGTCCATCCAAAAAACATAATCCACGCGCTCGAACTCAAGAATGTTTCGAACGGCTAAGATCTTCGACCAGTGCGGCGCTCGATCTTCAGATCCAGGAGGCAACTGGGTGTAGAACACCAGCTTATAGCCGTGATAGTCGCAGTATGTCTTGAAGTTCTTCTTGGCAATCGTGCAAATGTCTTCCGAGTAACTGTCTTCAGGGTTACCTGACGGATTTGCACTATCAACTTCTAAAATCTATCAACACTTTAAAAGCTTAAACTTAAACATGCTTAAACCCACAGGCTGCTACAAGAGAACAAGCTGAACTGCTGAACGCGATTCCAGATACTCATGCACCCAGAAACCACGACAATTGAGGTCGTCGATTTGTTCTGCAGCTGGAGCAAACCGTTTTCGTCACCATCAGTGTGTGCAAGGGCATGCAAGTTGATGGCCATAGCAAGGATGGCTTTGCAAAGCATGGCGGCTGCAGTTTTTCTCCGTGCAATCACGGCTTTCGGCGCTTTTGGTTTTCTAAGAGTCAATTAGTTTGGTTCGGTTCAGTAGGATTCGAGCCGGTCTGCAAGTGGTTGCGGCCAAACGTTATCCCTTCCTGCAAGTGGTCGCGCCGCTGGCGATCCAAGCTGCACAAAAAGGCGCTCCGGGCCTGCAATGCTTGGTGGACGCTCTGGCACTTGTTGCGCCTCAACCTCAAGCAGCCGGAAGGCAGAGGGGCCAAGTTTACAATGGAGCTAACACCTTGAAAATTAGACTCGTACAACCACGGTAGTTCTTGTATGTTCTTGCAATGTTTTGGTGCGTCTTCATGAGGCCCACGCCTCACCCTTGAGTTCATCTCTGCGTGGGCCCTAACAGACAGGTAGAGACAGCAGTGACCAGTATGGCGCAGTAAAAACATATGCAAAGCAGTGGGGGGCTGAGTGTCAGAGTGACAGTTTGTAACTGTTGGTGGTGGCATGATCATGACCCCAAAGAGCTCACATCCTGGTCAACCCCGAATCGCAAACCCAAGGGATTTTGCCGACCTAGCTAGGACCTTGGTGCGACCTTGATGTTAGAGGCCTTGTTCATCAGGACTGGTATTTTCTCCACCTAGCGAGGTCCCCCCTCGCCTGGCGAGGTACCTCATCGACCACCGAGCGACCACTCTGCGGTGCTCGGGGTCATCCACCGGTGCAAAGCACGCCACACAGCTCCGCTGGCACATGGCCACTCCGCAGCGTCAGGTGCTGCAAGGCGTCGCGGAGCGCTGGCGGCAAAGGGGCGCACAGCAAATGTGGCTCAGCGTCGAGGCCTAGGCGGCCGGCTCACTGTGAAACAGCGCAGGGTAAAAAGAATCACCAAGATTTGGAAGCGTTCTGGAAAAGCATCTAACTCCAACACTGAAACACACTCAAACCCATCTCAAACCTCCCACTGATTGCACCACGCTCTCCCATCCAAGGACTGGTGTGAAAAATTATGATCATGAACTCCAAACATCATTAGCCGCTCTACTGGACTGACTTCCGTATCCCGCATCCCACTTGAGTTTCCACTATAGCTCGGCTCCGATTGGAAGACGGAACACCACTGCTCCGTCCGGTCCACGTGCTCCACTCTGTGCACCAGTAGCTCCACTACTTGGCTCCCTTCGATCCAGGTACTGAGGAACCGCAATTGCCAGCAATGCAAGAACAGGCTCGGACACCACTCAGGCCTCAGTGTTTTTTCGTGCGCAGAGACCAGTGGATGCTGGGAGACAAGTATTCTCTCACGTTGTTTTCAGCTTTAGCTCCAAAAAAAACGTATTGAATCAGCAATCCTTACATCCAAATACTTTGGGTCCATCCTATTACATCCTATTACTAGTCACAAAGGATGATGATGTGAAGAACCCCCTGAATCCCTCTATTGAGTTACAAATGCTCGGTTCCAGGCAGAACAGGCCGACCTTGAGCGCGTCAGCGGATCTGGAAACGAGGAGCAAACAAGTGGCAACCCGAAATAGGCACGGAACGTCGTGAAAACACATCCTGCGGAAGGGGCGGAACTGGATCCTTTTGTTGAGATGGAACTGGACACCTCCGTCTCTGTTGAGTGTGCTGGTCCGTCCTGAACTAAATTCATGATGACGTGCTGACCAGCCTCACTCAATGCTCCCTCTTCCACGGCTGTCACCATCAAACAAACAGTTGCCTCAGGAGTTCAAGACCTTCAAGCCATGAACCAATATTACGTCATTAGCTCTTCATGACCTGTTCATTCCCGTCATGTTATCCTCTTGGCAGGCCGTGAAGTTCCACCAAGACCTCTTCCACACGGTCCGTCTCCTGAGGCCTCCCACCAGTCTCAAAGGCCTGCGATGGAGTCTACGTTCCAGCATCCGGCTCCAACAATTAATTCAAAGAAAACGAGGCTCTCCAAAGAAACCATCAATGGCAATGTGACAGTCGATGTATCTTCGCAAACCTTTGACCAAGAAGGAAGGAGGTATACGATATAAACGTGTTATATGCACAACATATCCCAACATCATCAAAAACATGCCCAGTTCGTTCTGCTCAAATGGTGAGCCCCTCAACATGCTCAGTTTGTTCTGCGGGCGCCTTGCCATATCTCCGGTCCCCCACCAAGGGCAACCCAACCTTAGCCGGGAGCTCGGTTGCCCAAGCCGTCAGCCCGATGTGGACGTGGGTGCCGTACGTGCGCATGAAATCCATGAAGGACAAAACACTTCTCATGCCCTAGGGATGTGAGTGACATGCCATTCAACGGAGAAACATGTCTTGGGCGAAAAAAAACGATTGAAAGGATGAGTGGAATCACCCGCCAGCAGTACTATAAGAAACCTCCCATGTTCTCAGGATCCCTTTTGTTGGCGTTTACATGTCAGACTCGCTTGGTCCGGTCCGACCCGTTTCACGGTCGCCGAGGTCCCGTGTACGTCGCCCTAAGCTCTCGACACTGGCCATATGTACTCTGATCTGATGCGTCCTGTCGCCCCCAGGCGAATCAGACATGTGGTGATATGGGAATTGGTAAACGTATCTATGCCATCTATGCTCAAGCACTGCAGTATCTAAAGTCGTTTGTTCACTGCTGGTATGATCATGTCCGAAAACCAGTGTTATACATAATCCTTGTCTTGCAGCATCTTACAGCTACGGGGCTTGTTATAGCAACAGCCGCCAGCTGCCAGTCTCGTGCGCTGTTACCTTGAGACAAAAAAACGCAAACAAACAAATGACCAAACTCAAACGACCCCATGGGACTGCCATATTTGCCGATCAGTTGGGGTGGCGCCAGGGGGGTCAATTGATCGGCATACATTCCAGTCCCATGGAGTGTAACACAGTGTAACTATGGGAAAAAGACGAAACTGCACTTAAGGCCTTTACCTTTGATTCGGGGCGCCAAAGTGAGTGCCATAAGAGTAAAAGCTTCACTTGAGCAATAACACACATTCACATGACCAATGTTCAGAGTGCTACATGGTCCTTCCAGTGACTGGCTGCGCCTGCGTCAGCGAAAACACTCCTGCAGGACCATGGTGGGTGGCTAAGCCACAAGCAGTAGAACTGTTTCTGAAACATGAGGAGCAAAATTCTGTACCGTATGTAGCTTATGAACACTGCAACTGCTAACTGCATATGCACACATTATAAACACATTTTTGTTACTGGCCCAACCTCCGTTGCTGCTTTGGAAGGTGGCCAGCACTTCATATTTGGTGCACGAGGCTTTGCCCTGCGGATCCTCCTCCTGAGCTGCTTCGCAGTGCTTCGCATTCTGTACCCCCGCCCCTGTTGATTGAATATAACACATTCCCCTGAGGTCTCCAGAAAGAATCCATGGAGTTTTTGGAGCACCAGCAGGCGCCCCAGCAGCCCCAGCAGGCGTGTCTAGAACAAGGGTGAAGAACCGAACTTGAGCGCACAAGAGCGAGCGCACATGCACAGCTGTGAGAGCACATGAACCCTGTGAGAGAACACAGGCACTAGCAGCATGAGAGAGCACCATGCCATTTGCCTGCACCTGGCAGTTGTTCAACTGGCCATCCGCACCAGTGATCACCGTCGTGTTCACACACCCGGAGATCGAGCGTGAAGACACCCGTGGACGCCCCACTCTTTGGGGGAAGAAAAGGGGCTTCAAGCCGCTTCGTACTTCGTACAGCCGAACAGCCGAACCAACCGTTTTTGTCGGAGCAGGTCAAGCCGAACAGCCGAAACCAAAGATGATTTTAAGCAGGTCAAGCAATTCGGACAGTAGTTAACATGCATCGTATCTGATCGTGATCCAAATGGATGATCATCTTGGATGATCATCTCCTTTAACCTCATGAGTTACCACACATGATCACATGTGCATGTGTGATATATGTGGGGAAAGCCCATGTTGGCTGTACAAGTAACTCACCTCCACTCTCACCTCCTTTAACCCGAAAAGCTACTTAATAACATCTTTTCAGACTTTTGTTCGTTGCACAAGCTGGTGCTCGATGCAAGACGTCCGGGATGCGCCTTCACAATCGTCGCCTGACTCACGCCCAGAACTGACGTCACCTGCGCACCAAAAAGGGTGACCAGGGTGGTGACCAGGTGGCGAAAACGCACGTGGTGGTGTGTCTTCACGCAGCTGGTTCCGTGCCGGTTCGGCTCAGGTCACTGGAAGCCGGAAGCAGGGGCAGGTTGATGTTCAGTGTTTCTTGCCATGGTTTCAGACACCTGCCATGGTGAAGGGTTCAGTGTTTCTTGTTTCAGGTGAAGGGTTCAGTGCTTCCCATGGTGGGTGTGCACCCTTCACATCCGGGTTTCAGAGATGAGCTACGCCGCCTTTTCCGCTCGAAAAAGCTCTCATAGCTCGCACACATAGCAGGTGAAGCGGTGAAGCTACAAACTCCGCAAGCTGGTCGTGTTTCACTTCAAGAAATTGCCGTGACTTGCCCCTTTACCCAACATATACATAGGGCACCTGGAGCAAGACCAATTCTCCAAGTGCTCCTTCAAGCTTAAATTGAAAAAGAAGAGCGAGATAAAAATAAACAAATGTGATTTTGCCAAGATGGCCCGGCTGGGAGTCGTTTGAATGGTTGCTGCTATTCTGTGGTTGTGAGGGCCCCCGAATGGTTCAGTAACAGCAGATCTTGAAACAAACAATGGGGGGGAAACAAAAAACAAACAAAACCACAAAACACACATAAATTGAACATTAAAAACATAAGGGAACTGAGTCGGACACGAGCAAACAATAGCAAACAGCTTATTAAGAAGAAGCTGCGCAAAAAAACAGCCAAAAACGAGAGGACCCGAAGTCACCCAAAGTCCCCATCGAGTTCAGCCGAAGTCCTCCGAGTTCACCGAATGAAGATCCCGCAACTAGATGTGGATATTTAATAGCACAAACAACCCAATCCCTAAGGATCCAGTCGTACCGAACCGCAGGTTCGGTGGGACTGGGGTGGGTGCCATTGTCGGGT